GAAGACATTCTTCCTTCCGTTGATTGTGATCTTGCACGCGTTTACGTTCGCTCAGTGATTCCACCTGGACTCCTTTGGCACGATTTCAGTATTCTTTCGATACCACAAGATTGCCAACAAATATATCTCGCTACAACCTTCGATCATCTTCCGATTTCTGGCACGCAACCTTCTTGTAGTAGTGATCATGGTTAAACGTGACACTACGATTGGTGAATTACATCTGGGAGCAAGTCTCAAACTCAGTCGAATCTTTCAAAGAAGCCACTTTCGGTGAGTCTATTGCTCATCTATCCACGTTCCAAACAAATGATGGTCGGGGGCATGGGCTCGAGATACAAAAAAATTACAGAAAGAGAGAATAGGTGTAGCATGCATGTAGTATAGGAATAGTCCTGCACTGTTGCTCGGTCGGTTAGTCGCGAAAGCGTACGGGTAGGCGTACTCGGGGTCCGGAACGTGAGACGGTAGTTTCCGTCGTGCATCGTGAGCCTACAATCTCATCCGTAGTTAAGGGCGGCGTGGTCTGGTGATCTGGAAGTAAGACAGAAGTCTCGTCCGTAGATGGTGCAGATGACACGTGCTGTTGACCGGGATAGGAGAATGAGGTCTCTGATTTATCTAGCGTGGGATCTGAAGTAGATGAAGAGACCCCGCTAGTAGGTTTGATGGGTCCACATTGAGTCTCAGCTTATCAGGAAGGGCACTATCATCGATCAATGCTGACTACCTCGACGCGGTCATGTCAATCAACTTTGAAGGTCTTTTCGTGACGAGAAATCACGTGAAAAGCTCCTTCGTGAGGCTGTTGTAAAGGTTTACGTGCCAAATCTACTCGTATGAAAACATGTGAACAGATAGATAACTCTCGAGGGAGAGCGACTTGTCGATGTTGTATTCGAGTTGACACCGGAGGCAGTTTTCGCATAAATTCAGACAGCCGTTGGTCGTATTCTGATTGACCAAAATCGTTACTGCACCGTGGTGTGAAAAATTTCCAAGGCAGACGCAATGTCGTGCCGTATACAAGTTCAGCGGCAGAACAATGTATATCTGCTTTTAAGCTCGTTCTGATGCCCAAGATGGCGGTAAGGTTTCGTACAAATTGTTGTTTTCGTGTGCTCGAAGAGCACTTTTAAGTTGGCGATGAAACCGTTCGACTAAGACATTTGATGCTGGGTGTTAGGCGGTAGTGTGTATGCGTTCCGTACCAAGCAGCCAGGTCAGTGAGGAGAATAACGCGGACCCGGATTGTTGTCCCCGGTCAGTCGTGAGAGTTGAGGGACAACCGTACAGCCACTATCCATCGTTCTACGAAGCGGTGAGCAACTGTCTCCGCTGTAATAGACGTGATGTGTATAGCTTCGCGCCATCTTGTAAAACGACTGATGCACGTGAGTATGTGATTAGACCCGCCCGATGGTGGCAATGGTCCTACAGTGTCTATATGAACGTGATCGAAGCGAGCATCAGGCGCAGCGAAAGTGCCAATCGGGGCAGCTACGTGCCTGTGCACTTATGATCGTCGACATTTTAGGCATTGCTTTAACTACATACGAACATCTTTATTCATGGAAAGCCAGACGTATCGTTCAGCGTCAAGGCGTAACATAGCTGTTATACCTGGATGAGACGGTCCATGCAGGGCATCGAAGACGATACGACAGTAAACAGAGGGTACGATTGGTTGAGGAAGACCTGTAGAAGTATCACATAGGATAGTACCTGAATTAGTAGCTAGGGGTACTTCCTGGCACTGAAGGGATGTAGATTGCAGTGCTTATGTACAAGAAGGATCGTTTGCTTGGGCAGCAGACATAGCAGGAAGATCGGGCACAGGCAAAGTAACTATATCCACTTGGATACGTGAAGGAGCATCAGCAAAATAGTTTGACTCTCCTTTAATATAACGAAAGTCTGTCATGAACTGAGAGATATAGTTAAATGTCTGCACTCTCGTGATGAGTAGCGGGCATACTTGGTATGCAGAGCGCAAGTTAAAGGCTTGTGGTCGGTGAATAGAATGAAATTGAGACCTTCTACTGCGTGTCGGAAATATTTGATGGCACAGTAGGCTGTTAGTAGTTCTCGACCAAAAGCTCTATATATCGTCTCCGTGGGAATAATGCGTCGTGGGGGAAATTCGAGGGGTTGCCAACTACTGACGATGTTCTGTTGCATAACGGCTTCTATAACGAAATGCGATGCATCAACCTCTATAATAAGCGTGGCTGATGTGTTAGGATGAGCGAGGGTCGTTTTGATCTCTGAAAATGCAGTACGTGCGGTATCGTTCAGTTCTAACTTGCGTGGATTACCGCGAAGTAAATCGGTTAGTGGTTGCAATGGTTCTGCCAGGTGTGGGATGAAACGTCGATAGAAGTTAACCAAACCGATAAAAGCCTTCAGTTCCTTGAGTGCGAACGGCATGTTGTACTCCCTTATTGCACGTACCTTGTCCTCGAAAGATAACATACCCTCTTGCTTAATGATGCGACCTAAGAACATTATTTTTAGTTTGCCCAGGTCACACTTGTCCGGGTTGACTACTATTCTATCATCCGAATGGCGTCGGAATAACAGTGTAAGATGTTGATAATGTTCATCCTTTGTACTATTTAAACTTGGATTAGTTTTAATTTGGTTATTCATTCTCTGAAGAAGTGACTCACACTAAGTCACGAAACGTTGGAAAATCTAATTTTTCTACTCATTGGGATATTACAAATATATTATTTATTTATAATGTTTATCTACGTTTGTTGATGCGATTAGCAGGTCATCAATATAGACGTAAACAGAATCTAAGTCTCGTACTATGCTATCAATAAACCTTTGAAACATTTGGGCAGCATTCCGTAATCCAAGTGGCATTTGTAGGAACCCAAACAGACCAAAAGGAGTCAAGAAGGCGCTTTCCTCGATAACTTAAAGAGTGACTGGGATCTGATGATATGCTTGTACCAGATCGATCTTAGAAAAGATAGTCGTGCCATTGAGCGATGCCATGATGTGAATTTCGGACAGTTGGCTAACATTAATTTGTTCAATGCGAGAGCGTCCATGACAGACTTGCTCTAGACCAAACGTTCTGACGTACAATAAATCAATTATTTATAGGCATATTTACAGATTGGTGGTCAGTTGTAAGAATCGAGTTTGGCTCAAAGTAAAAATCGGTTGATTTGAAAAAGAGTGAATTGAAAAAGCTTATGTGACACAAATATGGGTGACATGTTGTGCGATTCTTTCCACCATATAAATCTTTACAAAATGGTAAACAGGAAGCGATGCTCATGTGATTATCAGGGAGAACATAAGTTGTAAGCAAGGGGAGTACACTCCTTACTGATGTCTATGATAATGGCATGAACCTCTGTCAGTGTTGGGGTAGACTTGATAGTTTTTGTTTTGCAGATTTGCTCGACTGCTGGTACTGATAATTTACATACATGATTGTGTCGCTAAACCTTCAATTAGATTGACAATGTTCCAAGAAGTTTACAAAATAGCAAGTGATAGAGAACCATGCTGAAACAATCTATATTAGATAAAAATAACCACGAGGAAACACTACTCACTGGTACTTTAAGTCAATTTATAGGCCAAGCTTATTAATAGTTTCACCAATTCTACCAGTCATAATATGCGATTGTCAAGTCATGACATTCCTTGAAAATAAACCCGAATGGACCCGAAAAACGCTATGAAACATTTTATTCAATTAGCACCGAAGAGACATCTCCAAGATACATCTAGAAATTGAAGTCACGCGTTACATTTCGGACTGGAAAGTTTTTCTGCCACCATATTTAGAAGGGTTCCAGAAACCCGAGGCCATATGAAACTCTGTAAATAACCTCGAATTTCTATACATAAACAAACTTTGAAGCAAAGCATCTTTTCTATATTCCGCGCCTTCTCTCTCGCGTTCACGATGTCGTGTACATTTAGCCTGAGGGTTACTAGAGGAGGTTAGAAATTCGAATTAAGTGTTCAGTCATAAGAGTTATAAAGTGGAAAATATTAAAGGTGCTTCATATATGTGCTAAGTTCAAATGGCATAGAGATGATATAATACAATGCACGTATAAGCTAGGTCAACACGTACATTTACGAGAAATTTAACAATTAAAAAAACTCGGCATAAAAAAACTTAAAATTTTGGACACAACTTAAGGAACTAGTTCGTTTTTGACCAGTTCGACAGAACCTGACACCTAAGTTTCGTTTTATTCGCCCCCATTAAGAGTATAGAAACATAGAGTCTCCCCCCTTACTCCAAAAATATAAGGACACTACAAAGTGTTTAACGGCAAGTCAAAAAATTCGTCCGCGGACTCAGATCCTAGTCTTATGAAGAGTGCCTCCAATTATTGAACTGTTACCCACTAGAGTACAGGCGTCTTAAATGTGACCTTCTAATGACTTACAGTATCTTAAACACTTCTGGACATCCCCTTAAACACCTACTTAAGCTTAGTTTTAACACAAATCTTAGGGGTGACACATAGAAACTGGAGACAACAGAGCAGAACTGACTGTAGGCAAAATTTCTACTCCTTAAAAGTAGTAAAATTCTGGAATTCGCTGCCGGTTGAACTAGTCCAAGAGACTTACCTGTTCTTCGAGAAAATCTGACATATTCTTAAGGGCTAAAGACAGTATCTCACTGTAATTTACCAGCTTTTTCTTTTTTATCGTCCGTGATTCACTGCTGCTAGATACGGAAGCTTGTTAAGCGTAAGCTCCTTCTATTCCATTCAGAACCATTTGAATCTTTGAAAAGTCACTTATACAATTACTATTGGCGGATGCCTACTTCAATCATGTACAACGTGATGGCTCCCATCATACTCCTCAGAATCTTCAAAACTCCTGAAATACTTACTCATAAGGATCAAGATTTCAAAGTATAAAAAGCATCTAGAACAAAACTGATGCCCACTAGTTCAAACGTGAGAACTTCTATAGGAAAATTACTACGAAATAATTTAATTGTAAACAATAAAATCACACCAATTCTAAATGACATTATTTAATTTATTACAATGATCCTTTTGAAAAAAAAAGTATTGTTATTCACAAACAGCTTATTTGTACATAAGTGTTGTGAAGAAACCAGTATGGGTTTCTTCAGAAACGAAATTATACACGTTTCAATAATGTTTCCATAATATTCGACAAATATAAATAAGTTTTGTAAGATTTAGAGTATTGAGCTAAATTGAAAGAAAGAAAAGGGAAAAAGGAGAAAAAACTGAAAGGGACGTGAAATATGTGAGAAATTTGATGAGCATGTTTGTGGAAACAGAATAAGAGTAAACGGTAATATGTGCTACAAAATGAATAAAAATAAACAGACAAATAAGAAAGTGTGTCCCTAATGCATTATGATTTGACGGTGGAATAAGCGTTTCTGCAGTAATAGTTTAGAATGATGCTATGAAAGTCCCAATTAATTGTAGATAATAATCGTCAAATACCAATTTGTATGGGTCACATACACGTGGTGAATATAAGACGAATCAGAAAAGTTAATTTATTGAACTGTAATGCAAGATGTTATGCCTTAATCACGAAGAAAACTACTTATTACAAAAGTCATATGTATAAACGCATGAAGACTATATCCATGAAAATCAAGGCTCATTCCTTAACAGTATTTCCTTTGGTTCTCGGAAAAATACTTTGAGCGAACACTATACAGCACTAGCAAATATCGTTTGTATGGGTAGTGAGAGGAACTGAAAGCAAGTTTCTCACTATTCCTTCTCAACATTGGCATCGATAACATTCTACAAACTACTCTAATGAAAATAGGTAGTGGTCCTGGATAAACTTTTTCATTTTGAGTAAACGGATGATATTGTCTTACTGCGTGATGATAAACAACCTGTGCAATCAAGATTAAGTTAGTCAGGAATGAATCACATAGTGGCTTGATAAAATATGAGAATTAAACATTAAATGCATTTTTTGCACAGCTTTTTTTCTTTGTCCTTTATATTCTCCAATATTCCTGTTCTCTGTATTTCAATATTCGGCTGGCAGGTATTCTACTTTCGATCGCTCATATATACTACTTACATATGTCACCATAAGTAGCATAGGTCACCGTGGTAGTGGTAACTGGTTAGGCCAAATCGAAATGGTTTATGCTAATCAGAACCATCTTTGGTGTAGTCGTGATGTTAGCCTGGCTGTAAAAGATAGGGTTTATAATATGTGAATAATACTGGTTCTCCTCTATACTTGAGAAACCGGTCCTCTCCGAGTTGGGGATGTTCAGCGGCTTTCTGTGTCTGATTATCATTGTCCCCAAAAGATTCCTGACACCTAATGGCAACACTATGTTCGCCACGATTACTTGGTTGGGGTGAGATAGTACTTGAGGCGTTACCAGACATAGGTCACAGGAGAAGCCAGAAAGCGTCCTTTTACAAATCTCTTCTTTAGATGGGAGGACTCTTTTTGTTTGCACTTTTTCTCCCATTATACACTACTCTTGTTCACTTATTTTTATTCATTTATTATTCTAGATTATGTGCACTCCTCCTTCCTCAGTATCCTAACAGTTTTATTTTCCTACAATGCAACGGACACTTACTTCACCGCTTATCCGTAGCAATACTTGTTTAAATAAATAATCAATTAATTACGCATATGGCTAAGGATGAGAAATAAACACTAAAACCGAAAGACTCTGTTCCACTAATGAATATAGGTTTGCTTATTGAAGGACCATTCGAAACTGAATTTCCTCTCTATTCCTCTTCATTATCATAATGCCGGCTCCGAAGAAAATAAGGTGTTTTAGAACACTATGTGATTGACTAAAGTCCTAATAAGAGGATGAGTATAAGTAGAGAGCTTGACAACAATTGATCTCAAAAATATTCACTGTCGAAAGTTTCACTATGTGACTATTATCAAAAGATGAGTATGAGATATGTCAGTTAGCTTAGAAAATAGAACTACAAATAACTAGCAAACGACAAAGGTGTAGTTTTATATTTTCTGAGTGAATCTCATGGATTTTCATTTTAAAGTAGGCAGTTTCGACCAAGTCTCTACAGATTGCAATAATTTGTCTCAATAAGTGAGCATTTATATACTCTTATTAGTCTTACTGATCAACTTGAAAACATAATATTAAGTTTGACAAACCTAAGAGTGAAACATTAGTAACATAAGATAATGAAGTGTGAGTTTTATCTAATTTTGTTAATATGAAAGACATTAATTTCCAGTCATGCTCCCTTTAAACTAACGTAGATTACAAATAATTTTATTATTTAGATTTTTTAATCAAACCTTGATGTAAGATATACAAAAGTGAAACTTTAACATAAAAACATTTTACTTTTACAGGTCGACGTTAATTGAAAGACGAAATTATAAAAAAGAAAACTGTTTCAAAAGAGTCGTTAAAATTACTTTGAATTACCACAATATTAAGCGAAATTACTATTTACTTCAAGTATCTGTTAATCAAACGCCTTTAAAAATTCTTCAGCACATTGACGAGCCCGCGAATTCACTGCTAGGCGCATTTCGGAAATTTCTTTATCAATCTCATCCATAAAAGTAATTACGAAATCAACCAATTTTGCCTTTGACATCTGTTCCGTGTGAAAATTAGTGATAAGAAAACTGATGTCATAGCCCTATAGAGAAAGGAGCATAAAAAGAAGTGTCAGAATTTCGATTAAAAAACAGAGCCGCAGAAGGTTAGATAAATAAATATCTTTACGGGAAAATAGTATTTTAACTATGTATTACATGATGTTAATCTGAATGATTGAGATGTGAATGAGTGAAATTCATAGGACGAGAAAGTATTCCTAAAAACACCTTGATGTGGTAAAATTGCGAAAGATATCACTAATCAAAGAAACTTGACGTCTTTAACTACACACCAAGCTTTAAAGTACTTTAAAATATATTAACCAAAGGACGGTATGAGAAAATGGGTTTGACTCAGAGGAAAACAGTATATCATACAAGCTTTTAACAATTTCTCAGGACAAGCTTTCAAAATAACACCAAGGTTACTAAACTCTTCTATTATTAATTTTATTTCCTCCAGGAAGTGATACGAACAAAACAGGAGAAATACAACAAACATGTAAATAACTATAGATTTTTGACTTCGCAGGTATCGATGATAATGTTGAACTGGATCGTTTCAAATCTATTTTCAGTTGCTTAATTACAAAATCATCTAATTTCTGTTAACTCCATGAGTTCTAATTACTATTTCAATGTTCTGGAACTTTCCCTCCCAAACTTTATTTATTCGAAACAAAATTTTTATAACCTCATTAACTCTATCGGAATGTTCGCTACATCATGATACATATATTCATCCTTAATTACTCACTTATGTATAAGCATGTCAATATCTGTAATAACGCTGATTCTCAAATATTTTAGGTTACAAGTAGTTGATGGGACCCTAACGAAATGAAATGAATTCATATGATTCTGCACTAATTTTCGTTCTTGCTCTCTTGAAAACTTTTTATTATTTAACCACTCCACTAGATGTGACTTTAGGCAGCAATACTCCACTAAAGTCGACTGAAGTTGTAAGCTTTCGTCAATTAAGGGATTTAAAACATGTGTCATGTGTTTCTAACGACTGCCCAACGTGGTACTGGCTGGCATAGGTTATCTGGAGAAAATCTGGGGATCGGCATAATGGATTATTGGTTGTTAGTTAGAGTTACGTCTTAAGCTGCAGAGTTCCGGGCTACAGCTTATTCCATGTTTGTTATTAGTCATTAGAGACGTTAGATGACATGGCGGGAAATTAGTCACAGTCGTTGTCAGATTCCTTATTTATCTTGCTATAAATGTTAGGTTTATGGAATTACTAATAAACTTATATCCTTCGATCCAAGTTGTTACTTTTGTACCCTATTTCTCATAGTGAGATTTCTACTGTCTTCGCCAATGTTTCCCACACTACGATTTTCGTCTTGATTTCCCGTCGTTATGTTAGCATGAACTGTGGTAACCTGGACCAAAAAATACTAGCTCGTGGTCTTAGGTCGATGACTGACTAATATATGCCCTACCTAAAACATGAAAACCTGAAGCTATACTGACTTATTGAAAATATGTTTTACTCAGTTTATTATTCCATAGTGAAGTGGCTTTTAGAAATGATTCACAAAAAGAGGAAGCCCTACTCGATGAAGATTTTTTTTAAACTGTGTACATTCAACTTACCTTCTATCAAAAGGAGACGAATCAGTTTCTCATTTGCTATTGCCGATGAGGTACTTGGTAGATACCAGACGTAAAAATTATTCTTTTTGTTCTAACGTACTTTTTTATTTTAACAGAAATCTTTTAATTTCACAGAGTATGAGAACTACAAAAAAAGAACCATTCTGGGGACTTATGCTAAATTATGTATTTCAATCGATGCTTCAAACAACCTTCATCTCAAACCATTAGTTTTAATAATTCATGAAGACACTTCATGCATTGAACTTATCACAGACACAAATTCAGAAAATTGTTAGTACGAAGTTGAAATTGGCAGTTTAGTGATTGAAGGTCACTTAAAGTTGTCTGAAGTGTTTCGCTGCTTGTTGTCGCCTTTTTAGTTCACGAGTACTGTCAACAGCACATTCACCTCCGTCGTACTTGAGCAGATAGAAAAATTTATGCTAGTAACTTCATTTCTTGATCCCTGAGACTTCCACTATCAGGTATATTTGAAACGTCTAAATTCTCTGATTTGCACGATATCTAAAAGCTCAGTCGATGAGTCGCAATGACCCGACAGATATCACTCCTACACAGCTATCTTTTCTATCGCGCACTATAGTGAATGATATAAAGGAGAAAAGGCATGCTCACACCAAGTCTCAAATTGAGAAAAAACAGTCCGGTTCATTGACAGGGTGCTAGACTGCTAGACAAGAACTTGAAGACTATCTGTGAGGATTCCCACACTTTAAAAATAACTTATGAAAAGCCCAATATTTATTTGGCGAAGTGACCAAGCGGCAACTATAAGGAATATACTATCGTGAAAAGCAAATGATATTCAGCTGTACCACTTCATTATTATAAACAACGGAATATATCAAAAACAATTTATTTATTTTATTTTTAACACATAAGCATTTGTACAAGGAGGCAACAAATACATATGCGCCACACGAATCTCAATTGATTCGTGTGAGGGCTGTGATACTGCTCGGGTGCCCAAACCGAAGCAGGTAGTTTTCTTAGGGGGCCACACCCCGAGCCTTCGACCTGAACGTCTGACTCACAAGGCAGTGAAGCATCGTAAGAAGATGCAGTCCCATGGTAGCCGGTGACCAAGAAATTGGTTCATACGCCATTTGTTCCTTCAGGATACTGGAACCCATGTGTACCATTGGTTTGAGATCCGGTTAAAGCGCCAGACATTCGCTTTTCGTCCTCTCATTTTCGTAAACAACACCCCCGCCACGAGAAGGCAGTGAGTGGGACTTCACTGGCAGAGGCTATATACGCGTGGCCATGTGAGAGCATTTCGAGAGGAAGAGAGGACTCTCCCCACTCTCGACCGTACCAGGGCATTCGGGGGCATCAAAAAAAAATACAGAAGCATTACATACAAAATCAAGTACAGTTTAACTTTTCGTACAAGTATTATATCCAGAAAAAGCTGAAGGATGACAGAAAAGCAAGAGGAAACGATAAAGCTCAATATTGCTTTCTAGTTACTTGTATAGAACGTGATCTGTTGATGTGCATGAATGTAAATCTGGACTAGCGATAATTAACTAAGCGCTACTACATGGTCGAGTGAACGGATATCAATCATACTCTAACAATAAACACATACAGATATGGAAAAAAAATATATTCTACGACCTCTTATTAAGGCAACACTTGAGCTAGAATCACTAAGCAAAAATGTTGAAAGAATGTCTCAGGGTAGTTAGGTTACATGGGGACTCTGGACTGTTCTCATAATGCAATTGCGACTAAAGGTGTGCGTACCTTGGATAGGGTTAAGGAGGTAAAAATAAGCTAAGAAACTAACATGATTAAATTTAAATCAATGCTAGTATTTCATTTTACTTTAGCTAGACAAAAAATACATTGGTTGAGAATTGTTAAGTATTAAAATTGACTATCCAGCGAACAAGCAAAATGATCGTAAAACCAAATGTAAGTTAGGCTTGACTGAGTCACATACAGGATTGTGAAAATGCTCTATTCATGGTTGTTACTTACTTTTCAACTAACTCTAAATGCCAGCACAGAAAACATTGTGTTATATCCGAGCGAAGATTAAATCACGAGTAACTTCTGAGACATTAATTGACTAATATTATCTATATATTCTTACGGTATAGCTATTTAATAGCTAGACTATGTATATTTATATTCCCCTTATCATAAGCTTCACTTTGACCTATAATTTATCATTGTACGATTTACTGTCCCTAAATTATGCTCAGTTTATTAATTACTGTCCCCCACATTCACAGCCACTTTTTGGCCTATTTGTGTACACATGTTAGTTTCTATTTTATGGTACGTTGTGGTCTGCCTGATTGATATATAAACCGAGTATGTCTGAAATAAATGATTTGGTTCGATTTGGTTGATTCAGAAGCTGGTATTGTGTTCTGGACTCAAGAGGACGGGTTAGAAGGACGTAGGACCCAATAGGACGCTAGACTGCTCAGACCGGTTGAACGTCATTGGTCTTGTCATAGTGCGAATATTCGTATAAGCCGTATTCTGATTGGTGTATAAGTCACGTGATCGTAAGCCGGACATCAAATCATAACACCCTGGGAGTAAATATTTTTTAGCTATTACGGTTCTTATCTTGTGAACTCTTTTTCACAGTGAGAAATTTTTCTCGGTGATTCAGATAGTTCAAATAGGATCAAGAGAGTATCGCACGATAGAAAATCAGGGTAGGAATTCATAGTCAACTATCAGGACTTTTTCTGAACTGTGTACAAATAACAAACAAATATTAAAAAAGAATCAGATTTGTAGTTTTGCTACAGCAAAAATAGGAAATGAGGTTTTAAAGTTAACTTTAAATAATCAAAGGTATGAACTTACAGGGACAGGTTTACGCCTAAGTATAACAAAGTCTTCTGCACGAGTCATCATAAACCGAGTGAATTTTCGACAAAGCAGCTTTTCGATTTCGTCAGACTGTTTGATAGCAATGCTGACACGAACTGAATTAATTGACCCTTCAATCAACACCCGCTCTTTTTCATTCCGACTAATAATTACGGGGTTTAGTAGTAGTTCCTTGGAGGTTCGAACTTCTATTTCAGGTTTGTTGTGACGTTCAACAACTTGCGAAGAAAAATTCTGAACACATAATGCTGCATTTAGAGTGTGCCTAACTGCGTTTAAATAAGGTTTTAGTGCCTGAAAATAACCAGAAAACTATAAAATGTCAGTTACGCTAAAAGCTCTAGTTACAATTAAAATAAACTATTTCCATATTTTGCTACGTTACAAATCATGCTACGAATAAGTACACAAAGATTAAGAACGTGTAAGAGTTTAGATGGAGATGAAACAAACTGAATCACTATAGTGAGTTAAACCCTGACCGTTGTTGCTACGTTGACGTGGTGGTCGGGCTTGCCTATCGTGATGAAGCAACTGAGCTATACTGGCTGGAACAACCGTCCCTCAAGGTCCTACCATGCCAGACAGGTCGGTTGAAGAGCGATAAGACTAAAAGCAACAAAACCAAGGTCCGAAGGCGAAGTCGTACTGCTGACCGTACAGAGGTGTGACAGCAGTAAGGTGTTTCCTTCAGACAACCAGCATAACAGCGATGCTGCCTTCCCAAAAGAAGGGGTGGGGTTAGAAAAGGTCGACCCTAAAAATGCACACCTCACCTTATCCCACGGATATCCGTCTCCGGCGGTAAGGTCTCAACAATTACGGAGCTAACACAAAAATTACTCATAAAAAGGTCGTGTGTGACCGACCTCAAGCAGCTGTCCCTTGGGCACTGCGGTCACGCTCTCAGGTCACTAAGACCACCTCTAATCCAATTTCCTTTTCAGGTAACTCCAGCAGAACCCTTCCACGGTGTGGGCAACCGGGAAGTGATAACCGCCCTCATACCTCTAACAGCACTCAAGACCACTGTATTCATAATCAACCTACCTCTTCAATTCCTATTATTCCTCTTACATCGACTTTCAAATCTTAACTCCCTCTTTCGGCTTCCTCCTCAAGTGTCACCACAGCCAACGATTCTAGTGCGCAAAACACTGTCCCAGGTCTACTGAAACCTCGCTCCAAACTACACATCGGAGCCTTCAATGTACGCACACTATGCCAAACCGATCAGCAGGCTTCCTTGGCTAAAACCTTAGAATCTCGTACCATTGATGTATGCTGTGTCTCCGAAACACGCATACAGGATCCTAGCGTGGTCATTCACTTGACCTCACCTCGGCAAAACGGAGAGCCAACAAGATACACCCTCCGTGTATCTGGCGACCCGATGGCTAGTTCTCGTGGACTGGCAGGTGCAGGCATAGCACTAAGCATGAGGGCGGAACAAGCGCTATTAGAGTGGATCCCCGTTAATAGTCGTCTATGCGCTGTTCGGCTAAACGGCTCCGTAAGAACTCGAAAGGATAGGGACACACGTCGTTGCCTTTTCGTCGTTTCTGCCTACGCTCCCACTGACTGCAGTTCGGATGAAGTGAAAGATGAATTTTACAGAAAGCTGTCTGAACTTCTTCAGAAAGCTAAACTTTCAGACATAGTACTCATAGCAGGTGACTTTAATGCCCAGGTAGGCAGCTTAAGCGAAACAGAAAGACATTTAGGTGGGTATTTTAGTATTCCGGCACAGAGAACAGATAATGGTGATCGTCTGCTGCAACTGTGCTCAGACAACCGTTTATTTTTAGCAAACACAAATTTTAAGCATAAGGAGAGACATCGTCTAACATGGCGACCCCCTGCACCAAACCAACGATGGACTCAAATAGACCATATTGCCATCAGTCATCGTTGGAGAGGGTCAATAGAAAATTGTCGCTCATTCTGGAGTACCTGCTTGGACTCCGACCATGCCCTAATACGAGCACGCATCTGCTTGCGCCTCACTGGACGCAAAAAAGCCACACAAAAAGACTCATTAGAACCGAATTGAGTAATGAGAAAACCAAAAGTAGGTCCCAGGAACAACTGAGGTCACACTTAGGTAGTTCTGAAAACTAGGCTGACCCCGATGTTGCTTGGAAAGACATACAAGCAGCTGTGAAAACAGCAGTGACATCTACTAGTGAATTAAACCACAGGGTTACAAAGAACTAATGGATTTCTTCAAGGTCTATTGCACTGATAGATTCTCGCAAACTCATCGCATCAGGTTCTGAACACGATGAAGAGCGTAAAGAAATCAGATCTAGGTTAAGCAAAAGTCTAAGGAACGATCGTGAGCAGTGGTGGGCAACGAAAGCAAAAGAGATGGAAAAGGCAGCGGTTATAGGTAACACCAGACAACTCTTCAGACTGGAACTAAAATATCAAGTGTAAGTGAGACTATCTCGGAAAGAGACGGCACTTTCACCTGCTCCTAGCCCAGACGTTTAGAACGATGGGCGGAACATTTTAAGGAGCAGTTCAGTTGGCCTTCAGCTACTCTACAACTACCCTCTATTCCCAGACAGTATGAATGGAACATTGAAGTAGGTCCCCCAACTCTAGCTGAAGTTCAAAAGGCTATAGCTAATCTGAAACGAAGAAGGGCAGCTGGTCCAGATGGATTGGCCCCAGAGGTCTTTAAGGATGGTGGTCTAGTTTTAGCGATTAGGTTGACTAATATTTTAGCTAAAATCTGGGAGTTAGACGTCATCTCATCTAACTGGTCACAATCACTTATCGTCCCAATATTTAAGAAAGGGTCAAAATCATCCTGTGACAACCACAGAGGGATTAGTTTAACTAATATAATATCTAAAATACTAGTTTCGATAATTTTCGGACGCCTAACTAAGACTCGTGAACTGCAAACACGTGAAAATCAGGCTGGCTTCAGACCTAGTCGTGGCTGCATCGACCACGTATTCACCATTCGTCGGGTTCTAGAACACAGGCATACTTATCGGCGTCCGACAATAGTGGTCTTCTTGATTTAAAAGCAGCGTTTGAATCTGTTGACCGAGAGGTTCTGTGGCGGTGTCTGTCATTGAAAGGCGTACCTCAGAAGTACATAAACCTTGTGAAGGCTCTTTACTCGAACACTACTAGTCGAGTGAGAGCTTATGGCGAACTGTCATCTGCTTTCGCAACCTCATGTGGCGTCCGTCAAGGCTGTCCACTTTCTCCATTTTTGTTCAACTTCATCATAGATCTACTGATGGGAATAACGCTCTCATCGACTGAATTCTCGGGTATCGATCTCCTATCAGGAGGTCCACTTATTGATTTAGAATACGCAGATGACATAGTCCTGTTTGGTGAAGACGCTGATGAATTGCAGAGTCTTTTGGTAGCACTGAGCAACAATGCCAGAATGTTTGGGATGCGCTTCTCTCCCTCTAAATGCAAGTTGTTGCTTCAGGACTGGTCTGCGTCAACACCTGAACTAAGGATAAGAAGTGCAGTAATCGAACGCGTTGACAACTCCACTTATCTTGGAAGTCTGATCAGCCCTAATGGGTTGGTGTGTGACGAAATCTCAGCACGGATTCGAAAAGCTCGCTTGGCCTTTGCCAACTTACGTCATCTATGGCGAAGGCGAGATATCCGTCTATCAATTAAGGGACGAGTATACTGCGCGGCAGTTCGTTCCGTCCTTCTATACGGCTGCGAAACATGGCCTTTAAGAGTGGAAGATATTCGTAAGTTACTAGTATTTGATCACAGGTGCCTTAGAAATATTGCGGGTATCTGCTGGGATCACCGGGTAAGTAATAGTGAGGTTAGACGTAGGGTATTAGGGAATGATGGTAAATCAGTTGATGAGGTTATGAACCTTCATCGACTGATATGGTTGGGCCACGTGTTGCGTATGCCTGAACAGCGATTACCACGACGCGCAATGCTGACTAGTGCAGGGGATAATTGGAAGAAAGTTAGGGGCGGCCAAACCAAAACGTGGCATCAGTGCTTGAAGTCACTAACTTCTGGGCTGAGCCATGTTGGGAGATTCAGACTGCCTGGTTGGGGTCCGCGTGACTATCGTAACCAATGGTTGGAGACTCTTGGTGACATGGCTCAGAATCGATCACAATGGCGTCGGTGTATACACTCTCTGTCTTCCTTTAAATTAAGAGATTAAAATCGCTTCATATCTGTCTAGGAACTAATTCTTTCTTCCTTTACTATCTCCTTATACACAATCTTTCTTCTATATATTACCACCACTGAATTAACTACTTCTATGAATCCGGTGTTCAAATTGTTGTGCTAATGCGGTATGGCAACTTGGACCGATGCATATACGTGCCTGGTCCTACGTTGCAGCTGACTGACTAACTGAGTTAAACCTAACATGAGATTCACCAATAATAAAGTATCCTAACCTTTTGTTATTAAACACAAGTGCCGAACTTTACGCAAGGAACTAAGACTAGATATTTCATTCATTTTAATTGGTAGGACAAGCAGTACTACTTTGAACAGCTAAACAAACAACGTAAGACCCAGTAGAAACGTAAAAATCTGGAAAAAGATACCTATAGAAGCAGAGTAAGCTTATGTGTACTTGACTTATGGTGATGCCCATTTTGCGGGTGAAGTGAGGTTTCGAGGGGGCTGGACGTCTTCAGTAAAAGGCTGAGTAATATTTCATTAGGTAAACGGAAGGGTAGCGTCAAAACAGAATTGCCGGAAACTGGGGTCTTTGCTCACACATGTACAACCGATTTAGGTTTGGACAATAACTTATAAACGGAAAGAACAAGACGCTTTAAAGAAGAGTAAAAAACATTACGCACATTTCTAAGCTCTTTTGACTTGCGACAACAAATACGATCTTTTATTGATTTGATCAACCCATGATGACCAAAACTACTTATTAACATATGTAGTACTAGTTAGCGAAGTATTATGGGCAACAATCACCGAATAGTTGTTCCATCAGTTATGGACTCCTCAAAAATGAACAACCCTTTTAAGTCTCGGAGCGAGAAAAATAAATTTAAAACGCCGTTTAAATTTATGTTCCCATTACGAATAAGGATCTATATCAGAAGGGGTTTTGTGGATATTATAGTAATTTTAATAGTTGAGACCATGAGTTAATTGAAGTTAGATCACCATAGAAAACCTGGAAGCACTGGACGGCCGTTTCGTCCTATTGTGAGACTCCTCAGCAGTGCGCATCCACAACCTCGCCTAGCGGGATGCGAACCCGAGACCTATGTCTCGCGCGCGAGCGCTTAACCACTAGACCACTGAGCCGGTCGGCATCAAACGGTGTCAATGTCTAACTTCAATCTGATGCGAACAAGTTCTGGGGCTCTAAAAATTAAGAATGTAATCCCGATCGATAAATGGTACGGGATGATGCGATGTGGCCAAACGAGGATTTAAGCCTTAATACTAAGGTCAAGTTTCCCAATTGGAACATTACATACAGTATGATGACTGAAAGACAGAAAACTATTGCGAAATGATATAATTATTTGCTACTTGAACAAGGTTGTAGAAGTAACTTTGACAATATACTTTACGAGACCACTCTTGATACTGAGAAGTCTAAGAACTGCAGGACCTCTCCTAGAGTAGACTTGGTATTTTCAGTAGGTTGTGGACAGTAATTAATGGAGTAACGCAAGACTGTTCTAGGTACTCTGCATTTTATACCTTATTTAAATGAATTTCTAAGTACAGTTAAGTCCTCGATGCTACCACACACTGACACAAAGATCTGACGAGAAATAACAGGAGACGTAGATGCATGTGCTCTTCAAGAGGACTTAGATGCTCTAATTACGTGGTCTAAAAAATGGCTGTTGCTTATCAACGCGGCCAAGTGTGTATACATGAATATTGGGGGTATAAAGGTACAGAGTAGAGTCTGTGCCGAACATTTACCAATTCAGATACTTATATGTTCACTAAAGTATACATAGCATTAGTGAGAGCCAAATTTGGAAACTGCGTTCAAGCTATAAGCTCCTGTTTAAAAGATGGCAAGGGTAAAGGTTTTCGCACCGATTCAACTATTCCTGGAACTTGCTACCCGAAGAAATGAGGTCCATCCCTTCACCTGACTCATTCAAGAAAAGACTAGACATTTAGGAGCTTACTAGAAACGGACTAATGCAGGTCGTAGGATTTGTGTCCTCGAAACACAAACCTGAAAATATGATAAAAAAATGATATGCACCATTGTTTAACAATATCCACCTCTGTTCCCTACACTTAATCCTTCTTATCATCTCACATTAAATTTACAACAGTAGAAAAGCATCAAACAACATTTTAATAATGGGTTTTGAGTTACGCATCGACTTGACAGTTAAAAATGGAAGTTATTAGCACCCAAAAATCAGCGTGGAATCTTTGTCTTAGACTGGCCAATTCGAGGATGATACAAAATTTTGTTCTTAAAAGCTTTGAGTACGAAATTTTCAGACCATTCCTAGTAAATTTGCTGTATTAAGGAACGGCACTTGCCATGAGAAAGCAATGACCTTAAGTAGTATGCAACCATTCAAATTTGTCAGTTCGTTTCAAAACTCAAACTCTGATGAGGAATGCAGACAAAAATTAGTCCCTTAAAGTCATCGTGTGGGTAATATTAGATCCTTAATGACCACAAAAAATTATACATTTTGTTGTATTTTTTAATCTGAAAGGTCAAAACTAGAGATAATGATAGGACATGAGTTAAGATTATCAAGCCGTGAAAAAATGTCTAATCTAAGTGCGTTTTCATGATGGGAATTACTTATTCATTCCTATTTACACGAATTAGGTGATTTCGCTGAGGCTTTTGCTAATTCAGCGTCTAGTAATTGTTTTATAGGTTTAATGCTCATGTTGACGTTATCCATATAGACCAAGTTAGTCGTTCAAATGTTCATCGCCATAGTAAATTAGCGTCACCAGTTAATTTCCGCATTTCCGTATTTCTATTATTGGTAAACATTAAATAATGCGATCTAGGAGTGATACGTAACGTGAGCGCGTAGATATCTATTAAACAACGAAACTTTTTATAAAACATCAATAAAAATGTTAGTACTATCCCCCCACAGAAAGACTATCTACAAATTACTGATTTCAACTAAAAAATGCTTGAAATGACTTTTGTGTGCACTTGCAGCGCTTGACAATATCCAAAATAAACAGTTTTGTAAGTATTCAACAACAACGAAGACCCCGATAGTTTTATTGGACAAACCCTAGATGAAGGTGCTCGGTTACGCACCCACACTAGGTCATGAGTGAGTTTGCTGTGTTGCACAGATTTTACAACCAATAGCCTGCTTAGACCAAACGCTTCACAACACATCGACAAACTTCTAAATATGTTTTTGAACACAATCATCCCTGACTTATGATTTGACTGTGTTGGTATTCATCGATTATAAAGATGTAACTCGTAGAGGCGTTGCCAAAAGTCATGTCGGGTGTGAGGTGGTTACCAATAACCCTATACTGATAGATATCATATGCTCACTAGTGACCAGCTATGAGAAGTAATTCTCAGAGTTCTAGTCAGAAGTATTACGAATGGAGTTCAACCATGTCGAGTGTGAAGCAGTTATAAATCAAAGACCATGAGCGATGGCCCTGAAATATCGCGGATTAATTGAAGTTGGACACTGACACTGTCGGAGTTCAGCACAACGGCCTAGAGACTAAGCGTTTGAGAACGAAACCTGAGGTCCTAGGCTCTCATTCTGAGTGCGGGATATGCACTTTTTATGAGTTTCGTACTAGTACGATACAGGCATCTGGTGCTTCCAGGTTTTCATTGGTGATCTAACGTCGATCGATTCATGATCTCAATCAGAGCTCAATCATCTCCGAAAACCATTGTTGATAAACCTACCCTACTTCAATGAATTTAACTGATGTCATCCGACCAACCTTACGACTTAGTGTACGCACTTTTGTACAAAGTGACTCATTATGAATACGCGGGACCCTTCAAAGTCTGTGTGGTGTTTGAGTGAACTAATGAGTCTTTTGTACTTGTTGAATGTTTGATTTCGATTTCAAAATACAGTACACTCGTTAGTGCTTGTATAGTATTTCTTGATTGAATTGAGTTGTTTCTGGGATTCTTAGTTCGTATTATAATTCAAATACTTCTAATTATCATAGTGTGTCAGTGCAAAGCTATGTATTATAACATCAATAAGAATGGAACTCCGGATAACGTTGACACCGATCGTCTTGATGCATCTTACAAGGAAATCCTAATTACGTTGACTTTCCTGCTGAGCAGTCGTGCGAACCAAGCCTCTCCTTCACGATACCATCAATGATAACAAGCGTCCACGACAATACTACCCTGGAATCCGAAAGCCGGTTCGAAACAACGCGCTTTGAGAGAACGGTAAGGCTGTAGGATCATGGTCTAGGTCAGTATAAATACACTTATCTTGGCTACTCAAATAACAGGCCCGATCCCAAAGTTGCAAATTTGTCATTAAATGGCAACCTGATCTATAAAATCTTACGTGAATGTCACATAATCGTCTGGGTAGGCTCGTCCTCAGCAGTGTGACGTTTAGCATTTCTGAAGAACATATTTGGGCTGAGAATGGAATAATGTATTTAATATGGGAAGGAATGTGTTACACAGTGACCACGCCTGCATAGCCGGGCTGAGCAATTGCGATTCCGTGTTCTCGCGTTCACTAATTTTGACCTTTTCTAAATGTTTCGTGTTGAATGTAAATCTTCTCACTAATTATATGTTTAACTTCGAAGATCGTGTGGTTGGGATCCAATACCACTACAATGTTTCCAGAACACCTTAAGAACTACTACACGTAGGACATTCTACGAATTTTTGTTTGGTTTTGCAGCCAACAAATATTTGGTTTTATTCTCAGTTTTTACATATAACTACAAAAACGATCTTTTGTTCCTAACACATATGGAATTATCTGGAATAAAAATATCCGGAAAAAACTGCATGTGTCATGGACGAGTGTATGTTGACGAGCTCTCACGATTCCATTTATTCTACTTTTTCAGTAAAACTGAAAAAGTTAAAAAGCTGACTAAAATTACGATGAATCGAAATTCTCATTTTACACTTATTACCGTTATGTTATAATACATGGCCTTTTATATTAGGGGAAAACAAACAGATGCCGCTGGGTATAGCCAGCTATCAGAAGAGTGTTCACCGAACGCAAGCTCGTTGGGCTTAAACTTCTGGTTAGTCACGATTGGGGGTCATCACTACCCCACTAAGGGGAGTAAAGTTTAACGGTTAATAAGTTCTCAAATTAGGTAGTCTTGCAAATCTCTGACACTGGTGCCAACCATAACAGTTTTTCTAGACAAACCCTGGATGGAAAATCCCGGTCATGCACCCACACTGCATCATTAGTGAGTTTGCTGTGCTGCACATACCTTATAAATACTAGCCAGCTTAGATCAAACGCTCCACAAGATAATGACAAACTCCCAAATATGTCTTCAAATTCAGTCATCCTTGATTTGACTGCATTGAAGTCGTCCGATTACAAAGCTTTAGAGGCGATGTCTTTTTCAAATCCTAGATATCTATGACATTTTTCGGCTATCTTATGTTCAAAACGACTTTTCAATGAAGTTTGATTCGGTTGTGTTGCCTCTAAGTTATCTATCCGGTCAAAGACCATGTATGGTTTCGTAGCACATGACTAAATCGTCCTGAAGAGCCCGAAGATGCTTTTTTCTTAACACTTTTATAATCAGAGAAGGGTCTTTTGTGAATATTATGGTAATTTCAATGGTTGAGATCGTGATTCAGTTGAGCCAAGTTAAACTGGAAGTAAGCAATGATCGATTTCGAGAGTACACTTAGGACATATTCGGCATGTCGGTAACTGTTTGATCTAAATTTGCTGATAATTATCGGGGGTGCGTAGCACAGTGTACTCGTTCTTGATCTAGTGAGGATGCATAACCTTGTAGAATTATGGTCTGTTTCGATATTATTACTGCTCTAATGATAGACCTAATCCTAAAACTGTAGATTTGTTATGATGTAACTGCCTGATCTATAAGATCTTACGTGTAAGTCACATCATTGTCTATCCTCATTCATCGCTTGTTAATCATCATCAACGCATTTAGACTGGAGATACAACAATATATTTAATGTGGATAAAAATAATGTTACATAAGTAAGACCATGCCTAAAAGGCCGAGCCATGCTACTTGACCAATTCGAACTAACTCTACCCAACCTTCCCGCCTTCTCCATCTTTGGATTTTCCTCCGCGTTAAATGTAGAATATCTGCTTTCTCAGTTGTCTCGTGTTCAGCTTTGAGGATTGTATGGTTAGGGCCCAATGCCATTACACCACTCTACTGCCAGAATCAACAAGACGCTGGTTCGGTATCAAATTGAGTGGAATTGTTGCCCGCCGGAGGTCAATAAAAATAATGAAAATCCTCCGGGTATTGATGAGCTGGAAGATAAATCATAAAGAAGGGCGGAAGCAACTGATGGTGAAATACATGTAATAACTTTAAAATGTCTGTTTTAATGCTTAACACGCTTAAAACGAAAATTTGGGTGAAGATTATTTCGGCTAAAAAAAGTGGATTTTAATAAAAAAATGATTCTGTGTAGAGATATATTAATAAGCCACCGTAAGATACGTACTAATAGCCGTTGGTTTACAACTTAACTTATAGGAAGTATTTTGTGTTTAGAAATATTAAAAACAATCAATACTGTAGGAACGTTAATATTGGTATCATTTTTGGTTTAAATTATGAAGTCACATAACGTTTATGCCGGTAACCTGTCCATATGAGTTGATTTCCAGTTGCACCCCCATTAGTGGGTTAAGTTAAAGAACAAAAGTATTATCGTCGAAAAGAATTTCAAATAGTGTTCTTGTTAGTTTGACACGGTTTATTTAATTACGGGGAGATTTTCTTGACCTCATTTTTACTTGACCATCATAGAATTTAGTAGCATTACAAATACATATGAATGGTTATCAAAAAATGTTTTAATACATGTAAAGTAATAATTATGTGGATTTTGGACAGATAGCCAAGTGCAATTCGTTAAACATGAGTGTATTCGTAAGAGACTTGCTCTAAACTCAATGTTCCGATTTACGATATACTTTTTACTTAGATTTATACCTACCGGCTGATGGTGCATACAAGTTAGTTACAAGTATGCAGTTTAGCATAAGGCGAAATACTATTTAATTGAGATATAGTGATTACTAGTTGTTGGAATCAACTAAGCTTATGTGCCGCAATTATAGGTGATGTGGTGCTGCTAGATGACTACGGCTAGATTAGTCTTTACAAGATGATTAACAGTGAGTTATGCCCATGTAACTCCGCCTGTGGCTCATCTAGATTTACTGCCGGTCCCAAGCCCGGGTAAAGAAAGATGGTTGGACATGGGGTTAGCGTCTCCATCCCGTAGAAAACAAACTCGTTAAAAAAACGCTAACCAGAAAAAATAACTCAAA